TTAGATTTTCGCCAGTGTCAAATATCTCATGGATTATATCATCAGCCTTAACCGAGCAATTGGCACTTCAAAGAACTTTATTTCAACAATCCAAGGAAGCTAAGTATTTCAATTTATGCCTCTACCTTTTGAACATATGAAACCGTAGATCCCTTCTGTGAGCAACAAACTCTCTTACCTTTTTTTTAAACGTTTTTGAATATTATTTGGTGTCAGATCATTTAATCTGTTGTATGAACATTTCCTCCTCATGACAATTCATTAAAACCATGAACTTTAAAAAAACATGAACCTATGTGAAATTGCTTTTTGGACCAATGAAAACCTTGTTTTCACAGGAGTTAGTCATTGAGCCAAGAAAAAAAAAAGAAAATAGCGAGCCTATACAAAATCCTTTTCGATATAAAATGAGGAAAAATTAAATTAACAAGAGAAGTGTCTGAAGTCATGTGAAAGGTTTTGTTTCTGTTGATGCATCCAACTTGAAATTTTTGCTTGCCAGTCAAATTACTCGCCAATTATATTAACAGCCTTAACTGAAAGCTTGGCACTTCAAGATAGCTAAGTATTTCAAACTCTCTCTCATCTGCTTATTAATGTATGCAACTGTATATCCATTCTGTGAACTACAAACTCTCTTACCTTTGTTTTAAACATTTTTGCATCAGATCATTTAATCTCTGTTGTATGAACATTTCCACTTCATGGCAATTTCTTGAAACTATGGACTTTAAGAAATTCTGATTTATTTTCCTGAAACAAGCTACTGATGCAACTTCAATCGTGTAAAAATAAATAAATTCCTTAATTTGTTTTCTTAAAATTATCCATGTTTCCTTGCCATTATCTGCCTCCATTAACCAAGCATCTTGACATGGGTAAACCAACTGTTCGTTTTAATCCTGACATTCCACACCACTATAAAACTACTGTAATTATTGTTTATTATTATTATTGTTTATTACATGTCCATACATAATTCTGAGAATAAAATCTCTCTCAGAATAAATCAGTCTGGCAAGTGGGAGTCTTTGCCCGGCAGAAAGTTACTTTGTCGAAACTCGTGGGTTAGACAGTTTATGATAGCATATATATTCATTCGCTTAAGTTTTTTCCAATCACAAAAATCTTGACCTCTTTTAATCTAGAGTCAAGCCGTTATCATCTACATTGATTGGCTCTTGGGGCCTTTGTGTGAATGTTAGTTAAAAAAAACAAACTCTTGGACAAACTTGAAATATTACATTTCTAATTGACAGCCACCCCCTTTAGCCATCACACCCCCTCCCCCTACATTTCTCATTTTTATTAACCTGGCAACGCCTTTCTCTTCAGATTGCCAGCTACTGCCCCCCCTCCCCAGCCAACTTTCTCGTAATTTGATGACAAAGTAAAGTCAATTTTAATTCTTTGTTTCAACAAAAGTTGATAGCTTCTCTTTTTTTAAGCTGACAGGATCCACATAAGAGTTAACAGGTTGATCCTGTTGCTGGACACCCTTCCCGTTCCCCACGTCCCTCGCCGCTATCCCCAGTAGAAGGTGGAGTGGGGGTCATGGTGTCTCTGTTTGGCATGATTACCGTAGAATAAGAAATGATTTTGTATTTACTTTCTCCCTCTCCCCCCCTCTTCTCCTCCCCTATCTCCCCTCTCCTCTTCCCCCTCACTTGAGAAGTTGAATCCTGACCCCCATGACACTTCCTCAGCTGTCCTTCCTGAGACAACTCTATCATTTTTTTTTTTTTTCCTTTGATTAAACTATTTTGTCTTTGATATTTACCGACATGTAATCTAGGTAGGTGTTTCGAGTGATTATTGTTGTCCACCTCTGTTTTCGAATTGGCGCCGACTAATGTGTCCTATGTTAAGACCCGGGGCGTGTCTTCACCTCGCCTAGCCTAGCCTGATTCTTATCTTTTTGTTATGATCTCCGACTTCTTTATTTTTGGAGCACAGACAAGACAAGTTTTAGTGGTAGAGATACGTGTATTTGTCTTAAATATGTTTTGTTAAGTTGTATCTATATTTATTCGACTGCAAATCATTTATTACATATACTAGCTTTCTCTGTCTGTCTGTCTGTATATATATATATATATATATACATACATACATATATATATATATATATATATATATATATATATATATATATATATATATATGGTTAGGTAAATGAGATAACCAGATATTAGCAACCGTATACGTGTGTTGGCGTGTATATGCAGATAAGCAAATAAATAATTACCAAATTTAGCCAAGAGGTGGAGACATAATAGTGCTCAATGTGATTAAGCAGAACTAAGAAATATATATTAATACACATATACCTACGTTAGATGTGAGACTCAAATTTCATTGGTTACCCAATTCATCAGGCAGATGATATCACTTATTGTTTATTAATGTTATTATTGTTAAAAAAATATATTGTTATTATTGTTAAAAAAAAATAAACAAAATAAAAGAAATAGTGAATTTTATACAGGTTTTTCTTTTTGGAAAAAAAATTCAGATTTGAAAAAAAAAAGACTACAAAATTTTTCATCCTTTAATAGGCAGTTGTGCTTAGTTGAATTTGTAACATAATTGTATGTAGAAAAAAAGCAAATGCTGATAAGAGGGCAAAGGTCAGAAACACTGCCCAGTGTCCCAAATAAAGGCTCTCTCGCCTCAGTCGAGGTGTTTGGTGGAATATTACACCCCTGTTTCGGCACTGTATATAGTTACCTGGAAAGATGAAATAATTTTTTGATTACTGAATTATATTTTTTAATCCTTTTTATAAATTTTGGTTATTTTTTTTTTTTTTCATTTTGTTGAGTCAGTATGTGACCATAAATTCGTATAAGAAATTTTAACATCTTTTTTGCAGTGAAAAGCACATTGATTTGGAAATTCTTGCAAAAATGAAAGACTTTTTTAATGAAACTTTCAGTACTTATTCACAGATGAATGAAATTATTTCCGAAATGTCTTTCAGAAAAGGATTTTTTTTTATGCATCTGTTACCCCCCCCCAACTTAATTTTATGAAATTTTTCATAGGGTTTAATGTATTTAAAAAAAAATAAGATAGATATGTCTTTGATCTATTGTATTGTACATGTATTTGTGTGCATCTATCATCCTCTCCCTCTCTCTCTCTCTCATATATGTATGTATGTATGTATGTGTGTATCTATCTACTTATATATCAGTCAGTTATATGCCAGGCAATCCTGTGTCTTTTGATACATGTTTGACGTGGCAGAATTTTTCCCCACAGTAGGTTGCCATTTCTTTCTGCGGTTGACCTGTTGCCATCCAAGGTTATAGAACCCAGTCTGTTCTGCTATTTACTCATAGCTAGTGGAAGAAGAGGATTCATACCTTTCCCAAGGGTATTAGCATGTAAGTGAATGTAATGGATTTGACTGGAATTTGAACTCAGCACTCCAATTCCTCAATCCGAGCCACTATCCTTTACTCCACCATGCCTCCTAACCAATATATAGGATAATTTTTTAAAAACAAAAAATGTTAAAATTTTATAAGAGTAAATTTATTTATACTTTTCCAATTTTTATGTTTTTTTCTGAAATGTGTTATTGATATCAGATAGAAACTTTTGGAGCTTGCAGTCGCAACACCATGGTTGAATTTTTTGAAAACTTTAAGTGCGTTTTTTACTAATATGAGAATTTGAGAATTTCATAAAAAAACACATTTCAATTCGCATAATATTTTTTTTTTCTCTGATGCTACCTGAATTTTACCAAAAACAAAATCATTTCCATGCCAGAAGATGACTGAATGTACAGTCGAAAGTACTTGCGTATTAAAGAAAGAATTTATACTGCTTATAATTTTTAAAAACAAGTATCATAACATTCATCGAGTGATTTGTAGATTAATGCACTTTTAAAATTTTGTTAGCGAAGGGATTTCGCCATTTTATATCATTAACTTTACTAATCTACTTTTTGTATGAATGATTCATTGTAATATAAATTGAACTGTATCACATACACACACACACACACACATATATATATCTATACACACACACACACACATTGATGCATTAGTTGAAAAGATAGCATCCACAGTCTGTCCCTGATTTTGATAATGGCCAGAAGCAAGAACGAAAGAGCTTGATTTCTGGATAATATTTCTGTTCATTTGATCTCCATAAGTATTCCCACATTTAGAATCAGGAAATGTTCAACAAAAACTTTCCTGCCTGTTTTCATTAATCAAACATGCATTATTGAAGGTCTGTTGCCTAAATACACACACACACGGTTTGTTTTGATCATTCTCATCCTTTTGTCTGTTTAGATGTATTAATCATCCTCCTTTCCACATTTACCTTGATGTTTGTAAGTATGAATTTAAAGTGAATATATTAGATAAGGTATATTTAAACAAATTGTCAAGCTCTGTAATCCAGAAACATCCCTGGTCTGGTACTTTCTGAATCAACTGCCATTAATTTTGCAGATCTGCCACCTGACTTTTTCAATTCAGTTGAATCAAATAATATAATCTAGTTTGATTTAAAAGAAAGAAAAAAGAACTGGCTCATTAAATTTTTTTTTTCAGAAACCTCTGTTTAACAGCACATCAAAGAACACTTTTTTTTATTTTTCCTTTTTCTCTCTTTTTTATTTTTCCTTTTCCTTTTTTTTTTTTTTTCTCTTTTTCTTTTTTTTTCTTATTTTTTATTTTTCTCTTTTTTTTTTATTTTTCCTTTTTCTCTTTTTTTTTTTTTCCTTTTTTTTTTTCTTTTTCTTTTTTTTTTTTTTTTTTCTCTTTTTTTTTTTTTTTTTTTTTTTTTTTTTTTTTTTTTTTTTTTAACTTTTTTTTTTTTTTCTTTTTTTTTTTTTTTTTTTTTCTCTTTCTTATAATTCATTATAAAAGTAGATGCGGATTTTTCTGAATCTTATAGCAATTATTTTAATGAAATTGGTTAAAAATTAAACAACAATTTCATTAGTAATACACTACTTCTGTCCCATGAAAGTTGTTAGATTTTTCACCCTGCCTGCCCACTTTTGTCATCTTCACCCTCCTTGCCTGTCCACTATTGTCACATTCACCCTCCCTGCCTGTCCACATTTGTCACATTCACCCTCCCTGCCTGTCCACATTTGTCACATTCACCCTCCCTGCCTGTCCACTATAGTCACATTCACCCTCCCTGCCTGTCCACATTTGTCACCTTCACCCTCCCTGCCTGTCCACTATTGTCACATTCACCCTCCCTGCCTGTCCACTATAGTCACATTCACCCTCCCTGCCTGTCCACTATAGTCACATTCACCTCCCTGCCTGTCCACTATTGTCACATTTACCTCCCTGCCTGTCCACTATTGTCATTTCACCCTCCCCTGCCTGTCCACTATAGTCACATTCACCCTCCCTGCCTGTCCACATTTGTCACATTCACCCTCCCTGCCTGTCCACTATTGTCATTCCCTCTTCCCTCTTTGCTCTTCTCTTTCTTAACAAATCTTCATTATTACAAATTTCTGTAACTTTTGTATCGTCTGAACGACTGACACAACACCAAGTGTAGGGTGTTGGCTATGATTGCTGTACGGTGCCATCTCAAACACAGCCTTCACTTGCAATCACATTCACACTCGAATAAACACTAAATTCTCTTTCTGATTACCAATTGTACTTGATAACAGTTTTAAAGGCATTTGTCAAACTCAAAACTTGCATTAAGAAAATTTGGACAGGATTAAATTTTTTTTTTTAAAAGATTGTTAAAGTGAAGGGAAAATGGTGTGGCACGTGTGGGAAGAGGATGGTGCGAAAAATCTCATCTGCCATGTGGTAATCATTTAAGTGCCTTCTTAAAATTTCGAACCACCCTAACAATATGGCAAATTTATTTTATTGTACAAGACAACTTGAATGAAGGATTTTTTCTTTCTTTTAGGAGGGCTTCCTCTACGTTTTTCAACAAATCTCCTTTATACATTAATGTCATAAAATTACATTTTTTACTCGTGTAGGCACATGTGATATTCTGTTTTTATTTTATCACAACAGAAGTTGTGTTGTAAGCAAATATTTTTTTTTTTGTTTTTTTTTACTTTTACTTTAAATTTTCCAGGAGATTTTTCTTTAACAAGTTTTAATTCTTGATCATTTCAATGCATATTGATAAATTTTTCTTTGTTTTAACAAGTTTTAATTCTTGATCATTTGAACGTGTATTGATAGATAATTAACAAGGCAAAGGCCATATTTTTGTGTGTGTGTTTTTAATCTTATTTTTTTGTTATACTTTTTGCTTCACTTGTTTTTCACTTTTTTGTTTTGTTTTGTCTTTATAACCTTTTTATTTCTTTTATTTCTTCTTTCATTTTTTTTCTTTTTGTTCATTCTTTTGATTTCCGTTCTCTTTCCTCTTTCAATTTCCTTCTCTTTCCGTTTCCTTCTCTTTCCGTTTCCTTCTCTTTCCGTTTATTTAAATTCCTTTTTTATTTTTAAATTCTTTTCCTTTTTTTCTTTTCCTCTTTTTCAATAATTTTCCTCTTTGATTCACTTTTCCTCTTTCCCTCTTCACTTTATCCTATAAGATCCTTTTTATTTCAAAATTCCTTTGAAGACCCTCTTCACTTCTTCTTTTTCTTTTCCTTTTCCTCTTTTCTCTTTTCCTTTTTTCCTCTTTTCTCTTTTCCTCTTTTTCTTTTCTTCTCTTTTCCTCTTTTCTCTTTTCCTCTCTTTCCTCTTTTTTTCTCTTTTCTCTCTTTTTTTCTCTTTTCCTCTTTTTTTTCTTTTCTTTTTTCTTTTTTCTTCCTCTTTTCTCTAACGTCTCTTTCCTCTTTTCTCTTTTTTCTTTTCTCTTTCCTCTTTTCTCTTTTTCTTTTCTCTTTCCTCTTTTCCTCTTTTTTTATCTTTTCCGTCTCTTTTCTCTTTTTTTATATTTTTCTCTTTTTTTTGATTTTTTTCTTTTGAATGAATCTCTTTTTTCTTTTTGGAAAATTTTTAACTTTTTTCTCTTTTTCTCTTTTCCTCTTTTCTTTTTTTTTAATCTCTTTTAACTTTTTCAGTTTTTCCTTTTCCTCTTTCTCTTTTCTCTTTTTCCTCTTTTCCTTTCTCTTTTCTTCTTTTCCTCTTTTTTCTTTTTCTTTTTCTTTTTCCTCTTTTTTCTTTTCCTCTTTCCTCTTTTACCTTTATATATTCTTTTTTGA